TTTTACATAAATGTCTACAAAATCCACGTGAGTTGGTTGATGGTACATTTGCATTGATAATCTCATTTCTCTGGGCATAACCATGGAGGGAAATGAGATGTTAAATGAAACGCATTGGAAAAGATCTTCGTTGCAATTGGGGGAACATTATGGTGGGCATATGCCATACACATTCATATCCTGGGCGTATGGGACCAAAAAGCTGACAGCTAAGTAACAATGTCTCATTAATTTGTAAGCCCTTATTGTTACCCACTACCAATTTTCATGATTATTTACATTTCTTTTTCCTCTTCCATGATGCCTTACTCTAAAGAGTTTATTTCTTTGGCTAATGGTCACTTGAGGATTTTTGTTGTACCACTTTCTTTTATAGAACTTCCTTGCTGTTTTTCCTGGCCTTGAAGCCTTCTTGGATACCTTTCTGTACGTGGTGGACTTCTCCATCTATTTATTATTGCTGGGTTAACCTGACACTTTAAATACTGATTTACCTCGATTGGGAAGAATTTACTTCCTTGAAGAGACACATTAAGAACAAGTTGAGCTGGCAGTAGGCTTCGTCTTCCCCGACGGCTGAATCCAAGGGTGCGAATCTTGACTGGTCCCTTAGGTGATGGTTCTGTTTTAACATCTTTTGGGAAAGGCTTCGTAGGGGCTTCAATTAGTACCTTTCTTCTCATTTGGTTTTTGGCTTCTTTGTCATTATACTTTCCAACTATTAAACATTTATAAGTCCATAGGCATAACCGTATTATAACTATATACATTAGAGACCTTCCAGAAGTGTTCATACTTTTCCTTTTCAGCATCCTATGAAGGAAAACAAAAACAATTAGTTTTATTTATGGCAGTTTCTGATCACTTTTCTTATTACTTTCCTTTTTAGATGGATTAGTATAGACGTTTCCCTTCCATGATTTTAGCTGTAACTATGGAACCATTTAGTTGGCTTGTTCTTTTTCCCATTATTGATCTCACTTTGATACACAGTGGGTCCAGCCTTTTGTATAATGACTGCTGGTCCAACCCTTCTAGGACTTAGAACATTATCTTTTTCTGAATAAGATTTGAAAAATACATAGTCTCCTATGTTCCATTCCTGAAATTTTAAATTATTATTTAAACGGTCATCTACTGCCTTGATGTTGCTCTTTAAATGAACTGCAGCTGCCTTTTGGGTTTCAGAGATATTTTTAAGGAGGTCTTTGATATATTCATCTGTTGTTTGTCTTGGCTTAAACTCATCTGGGGGAACCCCTCCTGGCAACCACCAGGCCTCTGGAGTCCTCATTGGCCTTCCAAAGAGCACTTCATGGGGTGTAAATCCATGAGCTCCTATGGTTGATTGGATGGTCATTAGAATCATGGTCAGATGCCTGTCCCAGTCTCGTCCAGATGATTCTATTACCTTCCATAGAGCAGTTTTTAGGGTTCGGTTTGTTCGTTCGACTAATCCAGATGACTGTGGGTGGCCTGCAATATGAAACCTTTGCTTAATTCCAAGGGCTACACATAGTTGTTTTGTTACTTCTCTGGCTTCCTTGGTCCGAGTCAATAATGTTGGGAATCCCAAAACGGCTGAAAGCATGTTCTAGCAGCAACTTGACAGTGTTGGAGTACACCTCTATCCATTTACTAAATGAATCCACCACCACTAGGCAACGAATATTCCCATTTTTGGTGCGAGGAAGAGGCCCTATATAATCTATTTGAATACGATGCCAAGGACCTCCTGTAGCCTGATGTAGCAGAGGGCCTTTTCTTATATGGGGGTTGGGGTTATTTGCAGCACACTGAAGACAGTTATTAATATGATATTCTGTGTCCCGTATGATACTAGGCCACCATCGTACTGAAGACAGATGATGTAGGGTCTTCTGTAATCCGAAATGACCCTGTGCATGTGCCAGTTGAATCAATTCTCCCCTCAATACTGATGGGACAACCAATACAGGAAGTTGTATTTCCTTATCTTTATCGCCTTCTTTCTCTGCCATCACTAGACCTGAGCTATGTTGATTGATGGTCTACAGTTTACTTTTGCCATTCTTGAGGAGTTGTTGTATTTCTGTGTCTTTTCGTTGCAGCTTGATGATGTCGCTACAATCTGGTGGAATGGAGTTCGTCAAGGCCTGAATAGTAGATCCTACTTTGTCCCATAGCGATTCAGGGCCCATTTTAGCAGCCTGCTTGGCTAATTTGTCCACTTGGTTGTTCAGTATGGATATCTCTACCAAGTTCCTCCGATGTGCTCGCACCTTTAATAGGTAAGTATCCCCTGATCTTTGCTCTGCCAATTGCCAGGCATAATGAAGATACTCGGCATAGGCCACTGGGTGATCATCGCTAGTCCTCATGTCCCTTGTTTTCCACACAGGCATCCAGTCAATGAATGCTCTGGTAACCCAATCTGAGTCCGTACAGATGGTAATGTTGACGGAAGGATCCGCATTTTCCAGTGCTGATATTACCGCCACCACTTCTGCAGCTTGAGCTGAATGTTGTCTGATGGTGCCTTGAAACACCTTGCCCGATGCAACATGCATGGCTGCGAATCCCGTGGCTGCCTTTCCATCCACGTACAGACTGCTGCCATCCACTACCCAGAGATCCTTCTTCTGGGTTTTGGCATCCTCAAATTTCTCCTCCAGCTTGAATGGAGATTAGATTTCTGGTGGAGTTGTTGGAAGGATAGGACATTCATGATCTGTGATGGAATCACTATCTGGGACTGTCACACAAAGTGCAAAAGGGATCTTGCCTGGTGTGTTGGTTTTTTCAACAGTGATGTCTTTGTTGATAAGGGCAAGGGTCCAGTTCGCCAGTCTGGGATGGCTCACTCTCCCTGAATTTACTCAGCCAGAGAGCACATACCTCACTGGGGTATGGGTGGTCCTCAATAGGATAGGTGACATTCCTATTATGTATTCCCAGTGGGCCATTGCCCAAACTAGGGCTAGCACTTCCCTCTCGCAAGCAGTGAACTGTGACTCTATTGGTTTCAGAATTCAAGACCCGCAGGTAACCGGTTTTACAGATGTCCCTTGTTGTTGTAGCAGGACTGCACTGATGGCTGATTTAGTGCTGGCAATTTGCAAGTGGAATGGCTTACTGAGATCAGGAAACGCTAAGGCAGGTGCTTCCATTAAGGCCTTTTTAAGCAGCATAGTCGCTTCTTGTTCCTCTGTTCCCCATCGCCATTCCTGGTTCTTTTTTAGCAGGTTGTAGAGGGATTTGGCTTTTTCACTAAAACCTTCGATAAAATCCCTCGAAAATCCTACCAGGCCTAGGAATGTTCGTAATGTGCTGATGTCTGATGAGGAAGGAAGGTTGGAGATTAATTCCACTCGGGCCTGATCAGATTTTCTCCCTGTGGGACCCAGCTGCACTCCAAGATAACTTACTTCCTGCTTCAGCAGCTGTGCCTTCTCTGGATTTATCAGAAAGCCTGTTGTTTGAATTGCCTCCAGCACCTCATCCAGCGCCTTAAGGTTGTCTTCCCTGGTTTTGGTTGCAATCAGCACATCATCCACGTAGCTGATTACGCAGTCGGCGTACCTCAGGCTTTTCCACATTGCGGCCACATGCTGATGGCAAATGCTAGGTGCATTATGCAGTCCTTGTGGTATCTGTGTAAATGTAATCTGTCTATTGTCATAGGTAAAAGCAAATTTATGATGACATGATTGATCAAGGGGTATCAAGAAAAAGGCATTTGCCAAATCTAATACTGAGTACCATCGCACTCCTGCTGTTATCAGAGCCATGATCTCAGGAAATTTGGCCACCACGGGTACCATCCTTGGCGTCACCTTATTTAAGGCACGATAGTCTACTGTAAGGCACCAGGGTTTCCCATCCGATTTTCTCACTGGCAATATGGGGGAGTTACATGGGCTATCGCAGGTGATCAGCACTCCTTGCTGCATTAAAGCCTCTATAGTTGGTTTTATTCCCATTTGTGCCTCAGCTGAGAACTTGTATTGCCTTACAGGCTTAGGGTCAGGTCCT